AGTAACTGATTTACTATTTCCATAATCACATTTGAATGCCAAGTAAACACAAAATACAGGAACACGCTTATGGCTGATGGTGGTTTGTTAGACAGTCCATGCCGGGATGGCTTTGCCACCATCGCAGTTACTCTGTGTGCACATCAACATGGGCGTAACTTCCCTCTCTTTCTCCTCCCTTCTTTCTCTCTCCCTTTCTGTCCCATCTGCGAATCAATCTGCCCATCCACCCATCCATCCATCCATCACAGAGCAACAACTCAGCTTTCGATCCACATCAGGATCAGGTAAAAGATGGGCTCATTCTCGCCTCCAATTCCCGCCCAGGTGTCATGGTCCGGGCGGCGGTGTGGCTGGGATTCCCTGATTTTGTTCAGACCATGAATGTGGGGAACGGGACGGACATCTGGCCTGCCGCCTTCTGCGTGGGGAGTGCGGTGAGTGTGCCCCCTCTGTTCGCCCCTCCTCTCTGGCTGAGCTCCTGATGTGCCCTGGTCCTCAAAGAGCCTCCCCCCAACCCTCAGACCTAACTCCCTCCCCAGAACTGATGACCAGGGGCCCTGGGGTGCGGGCCTCTGTGATTTTAATGTGGCTTCTCCCTCCCTCCCCCTCAGCGCATGCGCATACAGTCCTGCAAGCCTTACCTTAGGCCAGCGGTTCTCAACCTGTGGGTCGCGACCCCTTTGGCGGTTGAATGACCCTTTCAAAGGGGTCGCCTAAGACCATCCTGCAGATCAGATATTTACATGATGATTCATCACAGTAGCAACATGACAGTTATGAAGTAGCAACGAAAATCATTTCATGGTTGGGTCACAACATGAGGAACTGTATTTAAAGGGCCAGAAGGTTGAGAACCACTGCCTTAGGCAGAGCCGCAGTCAGAACCAGCTGGCTGAAAGGGAGAGAGAGAGAAAGAGAGAAAGAGAGAAAGAGAGAGCGAGAGAAACACTGATGTGAGAGAGAAAAATTGATTGGCTGCCTCCCGCATGCATGCACCCCAACTGGGAATAAAGACCCATTTTGCCTAATGAAATATATATATATATTTAAATACACATGGTCCACCAAGATAACGTCCAGTGAGCGCTCTCGGCCCACGGGGGCTGCCTAGACCCTCCATTTGTCAAGAATTGTCAGCCCACCCCCCTC